CCCCCCCCCCACCTTCCTTTTGTTCCAGACTTCTCTCCCTGCAGGCCCGTGTCATCCAAGATTTGCCACAGTGACTAGAGAGAGGTCAAGCAAGAGGGCAAGAAGAGGGAGGACTGTGGATTGAGAGAGACTGCTGAGACAGAGGGTTTGAGTAAAGGAAGCATTCCATGTTGGAGCCCAGTTTGCATCGCAATGGCTTAAATCCATGTTGGCTTCATCCTCTCCTTACGGATTTTTAGGTTCCACAAGCCCTAAAGAAACTTTGAAGAGAGAAGCTCATACAGTAACCTATTGACCTTTACCAATTATTACCAAGCAGAGGTTTAGGAAGGTTCAGATCAACACAGTGTAACTTATTCACCTAAACCAATACTATACTGTTGTTATTGAGCTGCTGTTAAAATTGGAGCTGCCCTGTGGAGTCTTGCCCTGTATCATCTCAGTTTGCCACCTAGGATTGTCTTTAATATACTATAATCTGCCCCCATCAGCTCAAAAATGCATTTGTCTCTGGGCTGACTGCCTCACACTGCAAGATTAGAAGAAAAAAAAGACATTTGAGAATATTTACAGTTTCTTAAACCATGACAAAGGAGGACTTATTTCCAGAGGGACATAAGAAAAAAATATAGAGCGTTCATCAATAAAGGATCAAACTCTTGAAAATCAAAATAATAATAATTATAATAGGGAACACGGTTCCCTTCTCATTAAAACAAATGCACTGGCATGAATCAGAAAAATCTCAATGGAGCCACAGGCCTGCATTTTTCCTCAGTAAAGCTAGCCATCTGTCAAATCCCTAGTACTCCTAAAATCTGCTCATGCAGATATGTTTCCCTGCATACATGCAAATGTGCTTTGTTTTGTTTGTTTTTTAATGTTTGTTCTTTTGTGTTCTCTACTGTTTAAAAAGTGTCTTCATTAATACTGCTTAAACTAATGTTCATTTATGGCCTTTGAAGTAAAGCACAGATGTGAGATGGTCAGATATTCAGGGCAAATGGTGTCCAGTGTTTCTACAAGTGACACATCTGATAACACAGCATGAAATATGAAATGAAGCATGAGCCAGGATGCCATATACATCAGGTACATGATGTCAGTTCAAAGCAGGACTTGCATACAGTTAGGTTCTTGGTTTTTGGACAAAGACTTAATTGTGTAAATTTTGGTTTGTTGGAAATCAAACGATCAAGATGTGCAGACTTTCAGATTTCATTCAAGTGGTTTAACAGAAGTATTTAATTATTATTTTATTTCAAGAGGCTCAAAAAATACTAATAATTGGACAATGGACTAACAAGCAGTTACACAGCCAGGTGAGGCCTGGTTTTCTGCACCATTCTATTATAAATTAAGCAAATAAAAGATCTGGAGTAGATTCAAAGGGTCAAATGTGGCATTTGGTAGTGGAACTGAGTCACTGGTGTTTATTGATGATAATGACATGGCTACACTCTGTTCAGATTCAGCTATAGCTGTAAAACTGATCACACTGAACTTCACAGTGGAAATGGAAAGCATACTGCGAAAGCAAACCAAGGCAAAACAGTTACATATCCTTCAATGGTGAAGTAATTCGTGCGTATCTGTCTGAACCGAGCATGTCATTAAATACAAACCCAATAATAAGCAATTAAATGTGACCACAGTAAAGGCCTAGCAGCGAATCTGAAGCAAGGAAATGCAACATTTGGTGACGTATATAGATTCCAGACTTCAGGCAGTCACTGATTGCAAAGGATTAAATAAAAAGTATTAAAAACTACTTAAACTGATGTAGTTTGTGCAGTTAATTTTGAACCTGTAAAAATGGGGGACTGTGTTTCCTAAACAGTGTTAACCCACCGAATTTAAGCTTCAAGTCTGCACTTCATTCTCATCTTCATTGTTTGAATTCACTGTGGTGGTATATTTGTCATTGTTCAAATAGTTATGGGCCTAACTGTATATTTATATATATATACATATATTAGGGGTGCAACGATACACAAAATTCACGGTTAGGTTCAGTTCGATACTTTGGTGTCGCGGTTCGATATTTTTTCGATACAAAAAAATGTTCATGCCTTTTTAATTTGTCATTTATTGAAATTATAAATATATATTTTAACTCAAAAGTACAGTTTTTAAATTTAATGTTGCTGAAACAACAAAAGCAAAATAATAAAAAAAATAAATCTATCTGATCGAGGAATCACTCATCTTTGGAAAAGAGAGTTTAATACAGAGAATGAGGATGGGGGAGGTTCAATTTCGGGTAGCGTTGAGGCAGTTGCCATGTTGCAACAAGCTTAGCTTCTGTCTTGCTAGCTTGCGCTGCGCTCAGTGGATCTGCACTCGACAGTGAAGCCTAGGCGGAGTAGTCAAATGCAGATCCACTGAGC